ATAAATTATCGGAAATAAAGTAACTATATTTTCTTTTTTTTTTTACAAAAATGGCCCGCTTCAGCATTTGACGCAAAATAGGGCTCTCCCCTTTTTTTATCGAAAATATTATGCCACACGCGGAATTCTATGCCTCCCCCCCTTTTTTTTTTTGAAACAAATGTGGGCTGAACCGATGGGGTTGCCACGTATCTCCACATCCCGGTAAGAAGAATCGGAACCCGCGTAGTTCGGTTAAACTAAGTCCTCCTTTTATTTTTATTTTTTTTTTTTTATGAAAATATTAATTACATATAATAACAAAACACACACAACACAGCACAAATCAAAATTAATAAACACCAACACCAATAACACCCCAGAACAATAATCATAGATAAGTATGAAGATATACAAAACAGATAAATATATATCCCCACATTAAAAACAGAACACACAACACACAAATTAGAGTAAGGAACTAATACATAATTATTACAATATAGATAATACCAAAGATCAGACAACTAAATAGAACACTATGACAAATAATAAATAAATACAGAAGAAAATGAAAATATCCAAAGTCACACAAATAAAAAAAAATATAAAAATCCACATCAGATACACACGAGACAAGATAATAAGAAACATCATATATATATAATATACGAAGATAACAGCAGAAAACCCAAAGATAAATCAGGAATACACAAAGAGACAAAAAAAAAAAAAATAAACTAGATATAAGACAAGAAGAGAAAAGAAAGATATATAAAGACAAAATTCCACGAGTCACATAAATATCATAAAAGACAAAAACAAAAAAAAAAAAAGAAAAATCCCATATAATAATTACATATAACATATAAACAACACAACATTATAATAGAGACCACAACACATAAAATAAACATAATCAAATATAAATAATATATATCAATACTAAAAGATCACCTAACAATACACAGCATAATATAATAAATCATACATATAGACTAAAGTAATAAATAAGAAACAGAAAAAAATCACAAGAATAGTATAATTAATTAGAAATAAAAATACATACACAATAATGATCAAAATAACACGAACTAACAACAAAAGCAGAAGCAAGAAACAGATAGAACAAGTAAGAATACAGAAATATTTATATAAATAGATCAATAATAAAGAATAAGAGCCTACGACAAAGACAGAATAAACCGAAAAGACAATAGAAACAATACAAATATAAAATATATGTAAATAACTAATATTAAAAAAAAAGAAAATAACATAACTATGAAAGAATAATGAACATACATATAATAAATATAACAAGATACACCGATCGCAGACTCTACAAGCAGAAGACGATGAATACAACGATATTAATATATATATATACTACAGACGACATACGCAAGACAGAAAAAAACACAACAAGTCAATAACAAAACAAATTGTTAGACAATATAATATACTATCTAGAGAATATATACAATAATACAATAAGTAATTAAATAAATATAAAATATATATATATTATAATTATAATATAAAAAAGTCTATTCCGATAAGCGAAGATCCAGCGAAGGATATGACAAAAGAGAATAATATAAAACAATAAAAATAACACAGAGGAAACTAAAGAAAATATAATGACAACAATAGATATATTAAAAAAATGAATGTTAGAAACATCAACAATTTACACAAAAGACGAAAAACCGCTGAGAAATATTAAGAGACACACACATACATATAGAAACCATTAGACAGTATACAAATATAAATACACTATAAAAAGATGAGAGAAAGTACATTAATATGGTATAAAAAATCATCTAGATATATACTCTTCTAATATTTACATACATATAATAATTATTGAATATATACAATAAAATAGAATAAAATAAGACACAAACATAACATAATATATAATTTAAAGAGAGAATAGGAGACACAAAAACATATACATAAAAAATAAGTTAAAAGAGAAATGGCCAGCTATGTAAAGGAACCTCTTGGGCTGACATGGAAATATTAATAAACATAAAAAAAGGGACACCACACACAATGAGAATTATATATAAATGAGCACACCACAAATAGACAAAACAAAATACAAGAGAGAAAAAGAATAAAAATATATATAATAATTACAACAAAAGAAATAACATGAAGCCAAGAACATAATATAATATAATAAATAATAGAATATAAAATATACAAAGAGCACCAAAAGATATAAGAATATAACAATAATAAGAAATACTTATACATTAAGAATATACAAATAATATATAAGGACCATTAAAAAAACAAATACAAAATAAACAAATAAAAATACAAACATTAAAATAATAAACACACACATAATACAAAATAAGCCCACTAATTATAAGCACAAAAGCCCTAGACAAAATAAAGGCCAGAATAATACAAAAAAAACAACTTTATACAAATAAGACACACTAATTGACAGGACAGACACAATATACAGAAAGAAAGCCATACCAAAGAAGCAATAGTATACAAATATGACATACAGCACTCACTCAATAACAAATGTGAGAATATAACAACCTAAGCATTCTAGCATACATTAAAACATTGTTACCCGAATACTACTTAGACATGCTTTACCTAACTCTGACATAATCAACTTAATTCCCATTATCTAAACATTACATACGGAAGTCTAAGAATATAACCTGATAAGAGGCAAGAATAAATGGTAGTACCAGCAATTCAGACCAGACAATAAAAACAGCAGCACAACAACAGCAAAATCAGCAGCCAAAATCCAACAAATCAGTCAGATCGATGATAATTCTGGTAATTATCTTCGTGTTAAAACAGCCCGAAAACTCAGAGGAGAAAACTCATAGAACAACTCTAAAAGAGACTTAACACTTTTCTAAAAAGTTTGCACTCTAAAATCAACGCCCTTAAAGCCTACCATTTTCACTTACTTCCATGTGTTCAAGTGATGCTGATTTTTTACTAAAATGTTTTGTCTGTAATGTGTTTTCCAATTCTTCAATTTGTATGTGTTGGAGTCCTTATAATTGAGAAAGGGCAGCCCTTAAATAGGCAAAGAAAAGCCAACTTTTGGACAGGATTTTGGTTCCCCAAAAAATCTGTCCAAAAGAGGCTGAATTTGTTGGCTAAAAGCTGTCCAAAAGTGAAAAGGACAGCCTGAAATCTGCATTATGGCAGGGAGCCAAAGGGTCACTTCAGCCACCCTACTAAAATAAAGCTACTAGTACCCTATTTATTATAAAAATATCTAAACTTTCAAATTTTTACAACACCAATATCAACCTATTGTATCACATTAAACAAGTATTAAACATGTAATTTAAATTTCAACACATGTATTGTGAACACAACAATAGAGCAAACAAAATTAGCTATTAAAATAAAACGGAACGCACGATATCGCCGAAGCGATTTAACAAAGACAAACATAATCAAAATATGGAATTAAATTAAAAAAACAGAAACTAACTCTAAAAAAACAAAAGAAAAAGAAAAATATAAGAAAATTAAGTAACGGGGCGGGATTGCGATTTTCCATATACCATCGAGCATCCGGGAGAACGACGATGGAACATGGTGAACGACTTTGCGAGCAAGCTTCTATTGTTGATATTCTTAGAAACCAAGATTCCGGCGAATCCGAGTCCGGTTTTCAATAAATCAACGACACAACCTTGCTCGAGGCCGGCGTATAAAGAGAAAAGAAACGGGCGGAAGTGTTGCCAGTGGCGCGGCGGTGATGGGCGGCAGTAGGAGCGCACGCTGCCGGCGGGCGTTTGGGGGTTTTTGAGGTTTTGAGTTGGAGATATGGAAAGAGGGGGACAAGAGGAGGCGGGTGGTGTTAAATTTTTGGAGTTTGGCGGGTGACGGCGGCTAGTGATGGATGAAGGCGCGACTAGGGTTTGATTTTGTTGATTATATGTGGAGATTGGGGGAATTTAGGTTGCGGATCTTAGAAGAGGGGATGAGTAGGAAAGAATGGTGTAATTTGCGGGGTGTTGTGCGGACGTGGCCCGCCGCCGGTGCGACATTCCGGGGGCGGCGCTGGCGGCGGCAGGCGGAGTTGCTGGGGTAGGAGAATAAAAGAGAAAGGAAGAGAAATGAAGCAGACAATAAGGGAAATGGGACAAATTTTCAGATTCTTGGGAGGCTTTAAATACTAGACAAGGAGTGAATGAGATCCATTGGCATCAAGATGGAATGGAGGGTAAGATTTTGATTCTTGTTTATTTAGTGAGGAACGATGTAGTTTTGATCCAAAACTAGCGTCTGTTGGACCCTCCTTTGGCAGCCCTTGGTGGTCGCGATTTGGCACGAATGGGCGTCAAATTTGGCAATTTTTGCTTGCAATTTTAATAAATACACTAGTCCAATCTATCCATTTATCAAACCATTAATAACTCTTGAAACTCTTATAGCATTACAAAGAAATAAGAAAAACACACACACACACACACTATATATATATATATATATATATGTAATATATATATATATATATATATTATTATATTACTATATTATATTATATATATATTAGGCATTTACAAAGGGTGAAAAAAAAAACTATATAACATAAAAGACATTACATTAATTCCAATTTGGTAAAATATGATATACATACTAGTACTTTATTGGTATATATATAACAAGGAAATAGAGACATCAGCACAAGTTTCTCTTTTCATTTTTGCTCTATTACATCAGGAGATCAGGGACATAAATAGGGAAGGAGCAGTGAGAACTGAACTAGCCCTCAATAATTATTTCGTGATAGATTTTCATCGGTATCACTAAATTGTAAGCCTTACTGATATAATGAGTTTGACTTTCTGAATGAAGTAGAATCATGGGTTTTGAATTCTACAACGACTGCAAGTACTTATAATAACTAAATTCTAAATTTATAAGGTAAATACACGATTTAAGACAAATCTACTCGATTCGAGCGAACCCGTAAATTAGCCTCTATACCTTTGCCCGTGTTTTCAAAAGTAGCCATTTTTGTCACCTTTATCAGTTTGACCACCTTTACCATTTGGTCCAATAACCATGACAGGGGGAGTGCTGACTTTGAAACGTTCTAGCATCAGCTCTGATTGATCATCTCCAGTGAATTCCCTTGGAATAATAGTCCCAAAGCTCAAGCTTCTTTGCATAGTAGTCACCTTCTTGTTTTCCCATATGGCCTTATCACTAAATTTCTTGAACACTTGCACAAAATCTTCATAAATATTTCCTGGAAATATTTTCTTGAAAAATTCATTTCTTTTTACATAGATTTCCTTGAAAGATTCCAAGAGTTCAAGCAACCTAGGATCAACAATTTGCCCTGACTTCCATCGAATCATCATATAACGCCTTTTCTTCTTCTTTTATTATGGTTTTAACTATATTTATATTTGGAGGGTAGAACAATATATAGGATGTATTTATGATTGAGATATTTGCTTGTTTGCGAGAGTAAGTAGTTGTGCATAAGGTGGCTCTACTGCCTACGTATTTATTGGGCTATGGAAATGCATTAATAAATTAGAGACACACATTATGAAGAAGAAAAAAAAACGAAAAAAGAAAGTTCTCCATGTACGTCAACCCAAATGAAAGTAGGGCTACATTATCAGAGGCGGTCCAGAATATAAATCTAATAAGGTTCAACTATTGAATTTTTTAAGAATTGTACTCATTGTGCCGTCAAAATTTATATGTTCAAATCTAATGTTAGTTAAAATTTTATTATGTTTTATATAGAAATTTATAATCCGTATCGAAATTTATGGATTCAGTTGAATATGTAGCCGAAAGGCTACATTCGTCCTAGCTAATGACACCCGTCCAAACAAGAAAAAAAATCGTATGTGTATGTTGATTGGAGAAGCAAGAGATGAGAATTGTCTATTAACAAAAATATTTACGTACAACTGATGTCACAAATATTATCCATCTTGTAATTTCGAATACATTTTTACAAAAAATATTTACGTACAACTGATGTCACAAATATTATCCATCTTGTAATTTCGAATACATAAAAATGTATTCCAACGCTAGCTATACTTCAGCATTGTCGTAGTCAAAGCGCCTTAAAATGAAGTACCCCTTACGTGTCATCCCTGAATGAAAATTATTTTCTATATTTTCTAAACATAAATTTGACTATTTTTTCCTCAAAGCTCATTTCATGAAGATATTGCCTTACGTTATTAATAGCTAGTCATTAGGGGATGGAGGAAGCCCTAATTAGTTCTTCTATAACGTGTAAGAAAACTCGATGAAGTGTAAGGAAGCCATGGCTATACGTTGCTTCCACGGCTGCAGTTTTCCGTTTCTAGATATAGTATTTTTTTAATTGCATGATCTTATTTTCTAATGATGTAGTGTCTGGATAAGTTTATACACACCTCTGATGACTATTTACAGGATACCTGCTACCTTTCACCAGTACATATAACTGAAAAATTATGGTGCAGAGACAATGTCAACAAGACAGTGTATTGATCGATTATCAGTTAAATGAGTCCTATGTATTTATATAGCATTTTCATCCTATATTTTGGTATACTACATAGAGTAGGATTCTTCTAGGATAGCTAATACAAAGAGTCCTAATTCTTCTAAACTAGGACTAAGTGATTGCATAGTTATCAGGTTTGCTAGCCCGGCCATTATCTTCAACACTTCCCCTCAAGCTAGTGTAAGGTGACTTCACTACACCTAGCTTGTCTCGAAAAAACTAGAATTGGTCTTTATCAAGAGCCTTTGTATGAACATTGTCACACCCTTTTTCTACCCCTCCAAAAAGATATGTAGTATTATGGATTTGGGGTTAAAGAGTTTTTCCAATTAAAGTGACAAATTTGAGTGGGGATTATTTATTTACAGAGTCGTCACTTGGGATTGATTTTTGGGTGTTCCAAGTCACCTTTTATTTGAATCTCTATTCAAAGGAAGATTTGACTCTTTTATATCGGTCCGCGAAAACAAAGTTCGAGTAAGGAATTCTGTTGACCGGGGAGAAGGTGTAAGGCATTCTCCGAGTCCCGTGGTTCTAGCACGGTCGCTCTATTGACTTAAAAGTGGCTTGAATTAATTTTTGGATAAACTGTGATTTATATGATTTTCATGTTTTACTTATCCGCTTTTATTCCTTGATTATTAAAGAATATAATAAAATGTCATAATCGCACTACGCAAACGAATACGTGATCGAATAACATATATATTTCGTAAAAGAAAATTTTGATTTTTATCGAGGTTAGTTGACTAAACATATATATATATATATATATATATATATATATATATATATACACACACACAAAAAGTTGGGCCAACGTATCAATTTACAAAGAAAGGTAGCTTTAGATTTGGCTATTGCAAGGCACTGAGTTAGTTCTGAGTTAGTTTAATGATTCATTAGAGAATGAGAAGCTAGTGGACTAGAATATTATTGGCCCATCTGGCATTACTTAAAATATGAGCTAGCTGAATTATTATTAAAAATGGGCCAAGAAATGGATTCATTTGGCCCAATGCTATATAGAAGAAAAGGGGTAATTTTGTTGTTTAAAGGTAAATGGGCCAGCTTTTATTTGATTCAATAAGGCCCAGAGTTGATACAATCTTAGCTCTTTACTTAGTTTGCATTCATGACCACTAACTACATAGTCACAATTGTATAAACGCCTACTTTACAAAAAATAGCCGCTTTTGCAAATCTGGCAAAATGGCCAGTTTCACAAAGATATTACTACAACATTCCTAGAAACATATATTGGCGGTGTAATTTCAGCAACTAAAACGAAATCATGCTATGTATCATACACCTAAAGTCATTCATGGCATACTTAGCATTGTTACTCGGATACAATAGCTTGAAAACATGCTTAAAAACCCATAAACGACTTACATATCACATTCAAAAACTTACAACTCGATATTCAAGTATTATAAAGGACTATATTCACGTTATTACATGCTTGATACATAACAATAACATCCAAACTCTTTTGTTGTCAAACTATCATCACATCAAACACGTTTAAATGGTGCAGCAGGTTCAAGTTGTTCCCATTGCTGAAAAGATATACATTACGAGTCTTAAAGGATTACCTGGATAACAAGAGAATAAATAGTAGTGAAGTGGGCAGAAACAACGGCAGAAATAGCAGAAAAACAGCAACAACCAGCAGCGGATCAGTGTTAGAAACAACCCAGAAAATCCCGCGAAGGCACTTAAAACTAGTAGCTAACAAACTCAGAACTTAGCCAAACGATTGCTCTATTTTTTCTTAATGATTTTTGCACTCTAGGAGTCACTCTAAAGCTCACAAACTTCAGCTTACTAAAGTATTCAGCTGCTGATTTTTTTGTTCAAAGATGTGTGTTCCAGCAACTCTCAAGGTGTGTAAAAAAGGATGTTTTGAACAATGTGTGTAAAAGATGTCTTTCTTGGAGTCCAAGATCTTTTCCGAAATGAGGAAAGAGCTCCTCTTTTTATAGGGGGAGGAAGGACCTTGGGACAAATTTTGTTTGGCCAAAAATCTGTCCAAAATGATAGAATTTTGACCAAAAATCTGTCCAAAACCAGACTTTTGTCCAATGAACAGTTGTTCTCACCAAATATGGATAGAATTTTGGAGTATTGTACTCCAAAACAGTCCCCGAACAGTAAAAATAACCTAACAAAGGCCCTACACTCGAGTACCTTCTACTATCCTCATAAACCAATATCAAACTAAACCATTGCTTCAAACTAGAAGGTGCAAAATCTGAAAACTAGACTTGAACAATAAACTAACAAAAGAATCTAATGACTATAAACAAATAAAATATGTAGTTAAGGCTCTTAAACATAGACAAAACTAGAAATACTAAACCTGAAAATCAGAGCTTAAACCTAACCACAAGCAAATCTATTGCTTTATATACGGCTAGGCAAATAATTTAATTCAAAAATACAACAACGAGACTAGACTAAACACTGAACATACTCGACCTAAAAGACTAAACATTAGTTTAAAGGAAACCAAGGATTAATTAATCTAAACTAATTATAGATATACTTTCTGATTTTTAAAGAAAAATAAGAGTAACATATACTAATCTAATGTACTTACACGTAACGACACTTAAGACGATTAAACAAAGTTTAAGCCAAAAAATCTAAGTATAGACGACTAAATAATATAGCTAATACAGAAATACATATACGGCAAGCGAATCAGTAACGACAAAGAAGAACGAGCGAAGAAATTAAATGAAACCTAAACCTAATGACAAATAAAAACAGAAAAAGAAAAGAAGATGGAAGTAGAGCTATACCGCACGAGAGGAATCGAAGCCAATTCGAGTAGTCATGAGATGCCAAGGATGATGTCGTGACTGCCCGACCTTGAACGGGCATTTCTTTCTAGCACACGCCCAAATAAATGAGTTCTAGTGTTGTGCTAAAGAGAAACGAGCATTTTTGGTCGGGAATAGTCTAAAAATGAAGGGCCACTGATTGTCTTGGGTGGTCGAGGCAGTGGAGAGCAGTGGTGTGGCGGGCAGCGGGGTGGTCGGCGATGGCTGGCCCAAGTTCGCCGGTTTTTTGGAGGGGTTTGGAAGGTTTTGGGGCGGGGAATGGAGAAGATGAGGGTGAGAGGAGGCCGGTGGTGTAAAATTTTTGGAGTTTGGGGTGGTGAGCGGCGGCTAGGGTTTCGGTTAAACTTAGATTTATGGAGATTGAGAGGGGTTATGGGGATTTGGGGTTCGTATTCATGGAGAGGAGGTTGAGACGAAGAGGTGGTGAAAAATGGGATCGATTGGAGGTCGTCCGCCGACGGTGGCAATTTTCGGCCGGCGGAATAGGGCAGCGGGCGGTGGGTGGTAGAGAGATGAGAGAGTGAGGAGAGAGGAAGAAGAAAAGAGAATAGGGAAAAATGGGGGCAAAATTTCTGATCTTAAGGCCTTATATACATGGAGTGGAGAGTGAATTTGAACTCTTAGATCAAAGTGATATGAATGGATGAGATTTAGTCTCACCTCACTTATCAAAACGACGTAGTTTTGAGGCGTCTCTCATACCACAAACCTAGACCGGGTCCTGGGCCAGCGATTTTGGTCCAAATTGGGCCGATTTTGTCTTTAAAATGGCTAGCCCAATCCCTTAAACCTTTTAAAAAACTAATTAGACTAAAATCAAATTCAAAAAAATATATAAATGCACAGAATAAACCTAGAATAAAATATAATGTAGGAGAAATAGAAAGAGCAAAAATTAGGTATTTACAGCTGCCCCTCTAACTCAAGAACATGAAGAGTTTTCGTGGAAAGAAAGTGAATGCTATAGCTAATTTTGCTCGTGTAT